TGTTCATAAGTGCAAGTTTTCGACCTGCACAAACGTTGGACCCTTTGAAAAGAAGTACCAGGTTGAGATGAAGGTAGTCTAATGGTGATTGAGGTGAGGTGGCGTTCTACCGACTGTTTATTACTTTCCCCGAGCCTCAAAGTCAAGTTTTGATCTTTTTATTTAAAGGAAAACGAACAGACGTGACTTACCACGCTCGTAGCATTGAGTGGGTCTTGTTTCCTTTTATCCTTTGCCATTTTTTCTTCGTTCGTCGGAGATATCGAGCGTTTGACGGCGGCTGACACGTCTTCATTGGATTCGTCAGGCTTTTTGGTCTGTTGACAACAAAATCAGGACATTTTTAAGTCTGTATTGCAGTACAAGAGGGAGGTGCGGCGGCCTTATGGTTAGGGCGCTCGTCTCCGGATCGAGCGGTCCGGGCTCGAGCTCTGGCCGGGTTGTGTTCTTGGACAAGACACTTTATTCTCAGTGCGTGCCTCTCTCCACCCAGGTGTATAAATGGGTACTGGCGAATCTAATGCTGGGGGTAACCCTGTGATAGAGCAGCATCCCATCCAGGGAAGAGCAGAAATACTCCTAGTCACTTCAAGCTACAGCAACCGGGGTAAGCTCCGGCCTGATGGGCCACTTGGCTCGTATGCAGACTTTACCATTGCAGTGCAAGCGTTATTGTTGGCCAATCTTGGCAAAATCACTCGAAGAATGCCCGATTCTAGTCGACCAATTAGAACAAAAATGGCGAGTACTCGCAAATACTGCGACGTCAGCATGACGTCATAAGGACATGTCATGTTATGTTGCTTAGGAACCCTGAGGGAAATTGCGGGGCTCATTCATTCAATTCTACAACACAAGAATATCACCTAAGATGGAGTTTGTTTTCGTGGAAGATTTCTGGTCGACAATTACACTCTCAATTACACTCGCTTTCCTGCCAGTTATAAACTCCGAAACCGAGATTTTTCTTTCAATATCTCTAAATAACAGCACATAACTTACATCAGTCAAATTTTCCATTTTCTCTCCCCCTGTCTTTGCACAGTTTTCATTCGATGAAAAACCCTTTGTGTCACCATCAACTATCACTGGCCTGCTAGCCTATAGAGTTAAAGAATGGTTATTGATCCTTCGAGCAGGAAATAGGAATTCTGACTTATATACACTCAATTCAAGGTTAGTTCTAAAATATGGAAGAACATCAACGTCCCACAGTTGGTGGTTTTCTCTATTCTCATCACCTGTCTTGTTAGCAATGTATTGCTGTTTTATGGAGAATTTAACTCTTGGTCAGTTTTGAGGATAATCAGGGCCAATAGAAGCTTACAATGAATGAGTTGCCAGTAATCGGCTACCCATGTTTGCACAAAGAACTCTGGAATCGTCAGGGAGGCAAATATTGTAAGTCACTAGAAGGAAATGTATAGCGAAGTTGTTTCGACGTACAAAAAAAAACGATTTTTCGCCCTCGTTTTATCGCGGATGGATTTGGGCAATGTTGATACGTAGAATACGTAAGTTTTTCTTTGAATAACCATGAAATACGTGACAAAATCTACCCATAAACTCCGTTGCTTGCGTGAGGTTTATTGTGAAATTTACATGGCGTAATGGTCTGAAAATATTACAAAATTAATTAGGCATTAGTGGAGAGGAAATAATCCAGTAAACCCTTTTAAGTTGTGTACAGGCTACTTTTGTCTTATTTGCTCCTTATTTGGCCCATATAAGGGAGTACCCCCTCCCCCGGTACCAACAAGCGTGGCTCCTTGAGTATCTCTCTGAGTATTTGTATTTAAAAGTGCCATTTGTCCGTGATTATGCTTGTCAAATTTTGGAAATGACGGTTGAGTGAAATCGCGTGACACATAGGGTAGACGTTTCTTGTGCAATTCTCGATTTCTGTTTTAGAACTTCTTTTCTGTCTTTATATTTAACTTCTCAGAGGGTTTTTTCTACTATTTGCTCTGGGTAGCCTCTCGAGATCAGCCGTGAACTGAAATTTTTAATATTCTCATCAATGTAATTTTCACAATAAACCTACGCAGGTAAGGGAGTTTATCGGTAAATTTTATCACATATTTCACGGTTATTCAAACAAAAACTTACATTTTCCATGTATCTATATTGCCCAAATCCATTTGCGATAAAACAACGGCGCAAAAGCGTTGATCTCTCAGAACCATGTTTTTGGACGTCGAAACAACTTTCCGCCATACATTTCCTTCTAGCGACTTGCAATGTTTGCCCCCTGACGATCCCAGAGTTCGTTGTGCAAACACGGGTATCCGATTACTAGCAACTCATTCATTACCTCAGTCTGGCGAGGATTTTCTCCATCGACCATACTTTTTTCTCCCACGGTGGAAGAATCGCCAGTCTGAATAGCGAAAACGGAAAATAAACAGGTTCATGAAACTCAACCTAAAGAAACTACGACAGCGTCCATATAAGAGGTTTCTTAGCTATTTCTGGGGCATCAACAGAAGTGTTTTTGCCAGGTTTTTCTTACATCACATAACACAACAAGTGACAACGTGCATTTCCGAAAGTTTAGACCGTCGTCTCTTTCGAAATAAGTATAGCCTTTTTCTTGGTTTGCAACTTTCCAATACAACAAATAAGAGTACTCTTTTACGCGTGGAATCAAGTAAAGATACGAGGATAAAACTTGCGGAAAAGTAATTATAGCGCATCAGAACTGGGTCTTTATATCGCGGCCCACTGGTTCGTCTAAAACAATCATCGTGTACAGTTGTATCAACCCTTCAGATGCAATCCGCTGTTATTTCCACTGTTCCTTGCTAGCGAGTTCTGCAAGCTACTATTCAAGCGTTGTTGATACAATGTACCTTCGGGATTTGTTGACAATCGTGAAATTTCGTCGCTATTTCCTTACTTTCAAAACTTTATGGCAATTTCTAGTAACGATGTAATAATGTTCCTTAATTCACCGCTGTTGATTATTTTCTACATGAACAGAACTCACCTTGTTGTCATCTTCTATCTTCACCTTTTTGTTTGGACTTTCTTCGCAGTCAGCAATTGGCCGTTTCTTTCCGCCATCACCGTTGAACGAATATACCGAACTCGACGCCTTTAAAAAAAGAAACATTATCAATAATTAGCCAGAGTTTATTAGACAAGCTAAAACGGGCAAAACAAGTAATTACCAAATGACTTTCAACTCACACTGTCCATTCGAGGTTTTTTACTAGGGTTTTCAACTTCTGAAGGGGAACCAGCTCGCTTCAAACCGGCCGGCTGAAGACAAACACAAAACAATAAGTAAAAAGTATATATCTATACAAAAAATCACTAATGTGTAAGAAAAAACGTAGCATACGGCTAACTTCCGCATACCTTATCTTGCGAAACCGCTGACGGTTGGCTCGGTATTGCAGTTGTATCTGATGACGTCACTTCTCCAACCGTTGAAACAGCTGACGTCACAGCTGATGTGTCTGCACTGGCCTTCTTGTCACTTGAACTACCAATACCAGCTAACGAGAGAAATTAATTTGAAATAATCAATAACATCCTAAAATAACTTTAGCCTGTTGGAAGCCACTGTTAGCTTCTGTTCAGGCTACTCGATATTATTGCTGGAGACAAGTAAGAGATTGGACCCGAACCACTGCACACTGATGACATATCTATGTAAAATCCGCTTCCGGTTTTCAAATTTTGCGCGCAGGAGATAACCAATCAGAGACACTGCACGGATCTCAGCAGTTCGGGTCCAGTCTCGCACGTGCGTCTCAAGCAGGAAAAGATCCAAGCGTGTGAAGAAAGACGTTTTTCGAAAAGAATCAGCAGACTCACGTATTTCTTCGCTGTTCTCGACACTACTTCCCATCCAATCTGCACTCTCATTACTGGGCTCTGAAGTTATCTCCAAGCTCAAATCGCTGGCATTCAACGATGAGTCCAGAGACATGTCTGCTTTATTCGGCTTAGCAACGGCAGCTGGTGCCTAAAAGGAGAACAAGAATGATATGCTGATAGCTATAATGCACTTTATAAGATCTGAACAGTTTAAGAAGGGGCACACTGAGGGCTGCTCGTATAAATCTCTTGAATTCGTAAGAGTTTAACCTTGAAGTTTTTCCCACTATGGGATCTACCACTAATATCTGGCACAATGCCATGTACTGCTGTACAATGCCACCCGTAAAGCGGTTTATGCCTAAACAGGCGTAGAGTTGTACTTCAAGATATGGCTTGNTCCAATCTGCACTCTCATTACTGGGCTCTGAAGTTATCTCCAAGCTCAAATCGCTGGCATTGAGCGATGAGTCCAGAGACAAGTCTGCTTTATTCGGCTTAGCAACAGCAGCTGGAGCCTAACAGGAGAACAAGAATGAGAAGCTGATAGCCATAATGCATTTTATTCTATGATAAGATCTGAACAGCTTAAGAAGGGGCACACTGAGGGCTACCCGTATAAATCTCTTGAATTCTTAGGAGTTTAAACTTTAAGTTTTTCCCACTATAGGATCGACGACTAATATCTGGCACAATGCCATGTACTGCTATACAATGCCACCCGTAAAGCGGTTTATGCCTAAACAGGCGTAGAGTTGTACTTCAAGATATGGCTTGTAACTTACAGGCGGTACTATGGAGCTCTTTTTCTTCTGTTTAAGAACACTTGGTGGCAGATATTCACTGAGCTGCTTTCTACGAGGACACAGAGTATGAAAAAACATTAATATACAGTCAAATAGTTTGATTGCTGGTACTTTGTATGAAACCAAACCGAAGACTGTAGGAGAAAACTGCATTACCTTAACCAAATTACAACCTAACGAGTCCATTTTACACTCACTTTTTAACGTGCTTTGCTTCTATTCTCATGCCCTCCTTAAATATTTTGGCTACTGCAGCCTGTGAATAGACTACAAGAAACAAACCACGATATGTTTGAAATCATTTCATAGTAGGACCTGTAAAAGATCGACAGGCAAACAAACAGACACACAAATGTGAGACAGACAGACAGGCAGGCAGGCAGACAGACGGATGGACAGACAGACAGACATGCAGATGTAGTAGAAGGATGATTAGTGAGTAAGGTTTGAGTTCAGGAATACAAGAGCTTTAACTCAACGTACTGTACATGTAAGTATTCCAGTCGTATTCTTCTAAAGGCAGGAACCCTTATCTCACAATACCTTCCTCTCCACCCAGGATTTGGTGTTGTCTGACAAAATGCAGCATGAGGGCAGATAGATAGCAGCTGGTTTGTGGGCAATAATCTTAGTTTATAGACAAAATAGACCAGCATTGAACTTGCATACCAGTATTTGTAAACATCTGAATTGCTCCGGTCAAATCAATGTTGACATGTTCTGTGAATTCAACATGAAAATGTGAAAAAAGGTTTGTGATTTTAATGAAGTAGTTCATTACCAAACTCACAGATCAAACATAAAAGCAACATACACGTAGAAGGAGACAACCCTGTATATGAAAATGTTTTCTGTTCATCGACTGACTATTTTCTTGTATATAAGTTTGTTAAGGGCCCATTAACCGATCTCTTCGAGTTGTTGCTAAGGAAAATTTATTCTCATATAACCTCATCATTTTTGGTTAGTTCAGAGTTATTTCATGTGTTTTAACTTTTTCAAGATCAATAACACTAGTGATGACGTCATCAGGCCACGCCTATGGTCATGTGACTAATACTGAAAAAAACGCAAAGGCTCCCAGGCAAATTACTTTATCGGGATTTTATTCATTGATTTAATATCTTAATTTAAATCCTCATTACGCTACGCATAGATTTTGTTTCATTTCTAAAASGTCAGATTTTGAGAGAATTTCAAAATTTACAAAAATTCGTAATTTTCTGAAAAAAACATGATTTCGAAAAAGGAATGCATAGCTATGTTTCCAACGTTGGCTTTAATCGAAATCCGTCGAAAAAGGCTGGATTAATGTGTAATATTCAGTTCTGGTTTCACGCTGTTCGCAGTTCCGTCACATGACCGAAGGTGTGATGAGTCCGTATAAGTTATTCGCATGCTTGTGTGTATTTGCATATTCTTCTAGTTCTTCGAGTTTGCATAACATGATGTTCTAAAACGTATCTCTTGCCTGGTTTATTGATTCATTGTTACGACAATGAACAAAAAACCACGTTTCCTTTAGCATTTAAAGAAACCGGAAGTGCGCCCAATAAAATTGGAAGTTTCGCTATCAGCGCGTGCGCAATTTACACTATCAGTGCACTTCGGTAAGATCAAACAAAGCCACATGGAGTTAGTTTTTCCTCTTTCTATTGCTCTTGTTTTTCTGTCTTTCTCTTATTTTGTCTTTGATTGTACTTTTTTACTTTGCATTTTCTGAAACACAAAGAAAAACATCTAAAATGTAAGCGAATTTGGAATTGAGTTTTTATTTTCCGCACTCTGGCTGACGTAAGTAACCGGAAGTGAAATTTCACTTCCTTAGCAACACGCGGGAGCGTGCACATAAATCGGTTAATGGGCCCTTAAGGTTGCAAGCAAAAATTTTAACCACAGGGATTCAAATGAGTGAGAACACAAGGTGTGCAATGTAGATCGGGAAAGGGAACAGTTGTTTTTTACACCTGCTTTATAGTCGTTATTATGCTCAATATTTGCTTTTGCACATTTGCTTTGCTGTCAAATTGCATGGAAGAAAATTACAGGGTTAGGTTAGTGTGAGCAGATATCTTTTGTCTCTACTACTCAACCGGACACACTTTGTGATTAAAGTGGGCGCATTGGCCAGCCAGGCTACCCTACCATTTATTCAATGTCAATAAATGTTACAAAAGATTAGAAAACTAAGAGCACCAAAGCCAGACAGAAAAACCCTGAAAAACCAGCAGGTGGAAAAAAATAAGGGAAAGTGTGCCCCTGACCAAGGCAGTGGTACCACTCTTGGGGTTTTAAGGTATCCTAACTAAACATAGTACACATAAATATAGTAAATTACAGTGATGTAAAAAAAAAATAATAACAGGGCTAAATGAATAACGTTCGAGCATAACCAAGAAAATTAAAACGAACTTTACAACTGTACACGGTGAAGGCTGACCATAGAATGTCCCACCCTGCTAACTGTAACTAATAATTTCAAACTCTCATCCTGCTGAACACTGTGCACCTCGAACTCACCCCCAAGCCTCTGCTCCATGCCGGCAAAATAGTAATTTATGCTAATTTGGGATTATCACAAATTACATACATGTATGTTAACAGTGTGTAAAGACATGCCTACCTTTTTTCTCAAATTGCAGCCCAATAAACCATCGGGTTGTAGGTGGTTCCCTGTTGAACATTAATGAAAAAAGAACACATTTTAACTAACCCTTAAGAGTGGCAGATTCTTAGCTAACAAATGCAGCTTACTTGTCTGGTTCTAAGGCTCCGTAGGATTTTGGTTTGACGTGAGCTAGCAAGACATACTGAGCACTTTCCAGGTTTGATATAAGTATTCTGATCTTTGACTCTACTAAACCAATCCTACAGGAGAAAATGAAATGAAAATGAGTTGTCTTCATTTCAATCCATAACTTTCAAAATCCTAGTCAGGACAGTTCTAAAGAGCATACTAAAGTAGTACTATGTAACTGATGGAAACAGATCTGTACACTTGACTAAAACGGAAACTGTCTGCTACGCGTAACTTAAACATCATTTGCCAAAGCTCAAATTATTCATACATGTAGGTCATGGGGAACTGATTAGAAATAAAACCATTTCATTTCCTAGAACAGTGGATGATGAATAGCATGATTAATGAGCTGTGGACGACAATAACAATAATAATGATGATGATGATGATGACGACTTTATTATCATGTCAATTACATCTAGCAGTGGAGAATCCCCACTGTTAATAGGTGACACCTAACTAGAAATATCTAAAAATAATATACAGAAAAGTCCTCTAAAAGAAATTAAAAGCAAGTAACATTAAGCAAAACCAAAAAATGAATGAAGTAATACTCACCACTCTAAGTGTTCCTCTGCAGAGTTTGATATGGCACTTAACACGATGTAATGTCTGAAATGTGGAGAACAGAATTCACCAGCAAATAAATGAGGCCGGCAGGCCTGCATATTGTACATGTTATCCTTGGATCCAAGTTTATTGCAGTTCACAAAAGCTTTGCTTGACTGAACATTTTAAGACATTCAAATAGAATCATTTCACAAAAATACACATTTTGATACACATTTTGATACACATTTTGAATTTGGGAACATTGTAAATGAAACAAAAACCTGCAGTATAATTAGCTATTGCTGAAGAATAGTTCCAGAAAATTAAAAAAAAGTTGCCACAAAATAGCACAGAACATCATACAAAATGACATCAAAACTGGAATGGTCCAATTATCAAAATGATCTTACAAGTGTCTTTTATCATCTTCAATATTTTTTCCTCTCAGCAAATCAAAATTAATTTGATAAAAAAGGAAATAAAATCTGTTGTCACTTTGCTTGTGGAATTATGAAAGAAATCAAAAGACTGGTGTCAAGGAAAACACCCAAAAATTTGATTCAATATTTTTGCCTCACAAATAAATTGCTGAATTTGTTTCTTTCACCTTGAGTATTTGAAGAAGGTGTTGCTGACACAAACAGATCATCAATGAAACACCACACTACCAAAGCAGATCTTTATTGCATCAACTTTAAGACGTACATTAAGCTTGTGATACAAGCCAGAGAAAGAAAGGCTTAATGTTACATTCAGACACACAAAAAAAGGAGAGATCATGTACTTGTATTTGCTAAAGAAGTTGGGTGGTTGAAACAGTGCATCCCATGTTGACTTTCCAATCAAAACATCACTTGTAATTCTTAGACCTGCAAATATGAAAAAGGACATTGTGCAGTGCATTTGTAAAATTTTGGTTACAAGCCCCTCAAAATCCAAAAAATCCCAGCAATCTCACTTGTAAAAGATCTCTCATCACTGTCAACACCATTGGCAATACCTTGCTTGTATGGTAGTATGTTAGTATGGTTCCACAATTTCAGGTTACAACATCACAGTGCACACACATAAATGTACATTGACAATATCATTTTCTAGAGTACAAGTTGTGTTAACTCACCATTATCAAATTCTTCATTCATGATGGTTCTCGTTGACATGGAGACATTGAAAGTAGAATTCTGCTGTGGATAAGCCGGTGTGATAATAGGCATCAAGTGATATCGGTCTTTTGGATTTGTCTGTAAACACAAACATACATGCAGAATTCTTTTTGGACTGAAAATCAAGGTATTTTCGAGGCAAATTTTGTAGGGCACATTTTCAATTTTTCAAGGACTCCGTCCACTAAAGAAGCTCAGGCACAAGAGATACCTGCCATATTTGTTCAAGTCCAAGTCTTTTCAGTTCTTCCATGATGTGGAAACAATCAACCAACAAATTTTAAAGTTCTTCAAGGACCCAATGTACTTGATTTTCAAATTCAAGGACTTTCAAGTTGTGTGCAAACCCTTTGTTACATGCACTGCATGTCTGTATAATACACAGGTAGGTATCACTTGGTCAATAATATTATTACAAAATTGTACATGTGTACAATACCAGTAGACCACACATACAGAAAAATATTACATAGTTTCCATCTTTCTCTAAACAGGTGAGCATTTTGAACGTGCAACATTAAAGAATAAAAATAATGAAGAATCAGAGACACATTGTACATGTCTTGTCCATAAGAAAGATTTCAAAATACCCAGAATTAATTGCTGGAGTCACTGAAAATCTATTGGGTGGTCAAGGACAACCCAAGAGCATGCAGAGTTTCACATATAATTTGCGTATTTACCCTTGGATCCCACACTGGAAAATTTAATTCCACTTTGTTGTCACTTGGTGGAGTGATGTTTTTCAGCAACACTGGGTTTGGCCATTCCCTACAAGTAAACAAAATTTAATTTGTATTGGTGAATCAAGTACAGTATCTACACTTATGATACGACAAGGTAGTCGTGAGGTAAATCTGAGCATTCTGATTGCCTCTTCCCTGGTCAAGATTTTGCCATACAGTGTACAGAACGGAAAAAGTCATAGGCCATGCATTTTTCATTTCAGTGCCATGTAGTAACCTACTTACTAGCTTAGCTTGCTTGAGCCATAATGGGGAGTATTGGCCCTTGGTCGTTTTTGTACGGACCTCACACAAGCGCCTTGCCAGTCTCAGTCCAATATTCCCCAGTAAAGCCCTCACACTCAGTTAGTAAGAGGTTAATCTTTCTAGAACCACTTTTGTTAGTTCTTGAAATGAAGACCTACCATTTTGAAAATACAAGGAAGAACTTTTGTAGTAGTGTAGCTGCCACTGCATTTGGATACAACTGACATGTACGAGCTACTAACATAGCCCATGACACACCACCGAGGAAACCTAACACATTGGAGTAGATCCCACGATCTGGTGGACAAGAAAAGAACAGAAATTTGTCAAGTTACATGTAAGTAATAGAAGAACAAAATCAGGGTTCATACATATTTTTTGTATTCAAAACATTTCCATGCTCTTTCTGAACCAATATTTCCCTTTTCCAGCATACTTCCCAAAACGCCCGTTCATGTGAAATTCAGAAGCTGATGAAGATTTTACTTAGCAACTGAGCAGCTGCCTACAGCTGAAATAAAAACATCAGTCTCTTTCCATCTTATTTTCTTTTTTTTTTCTTTTCCCATTGATACGGTAGATTTACTTGTCAGAACCTACTTTTTGCCCACAGTTTGACTGCTCTTAATGTAAGACGGAAGTTTTCTATGTTGGGAACCAAGTGGAGAATTTCATCTGTAACACGGCAACCTAACAAAGACAATAAAATAATTAATAAAAATGTTTTCTATTCCTCGCAAAATTCGGTCAGTTTTGATTTTGTGCACCCCAGACAACAAAATTAAATTAAATGCAATCTTCATGAAGATGAACAATACCATAATCAAGGTAATCTTTGGATTGTACCAGCTTGGTTTGACCACGTAGAGGAAAGTATTTCTTACAAAGAAGTTCAGTTAAAAAAGTTTTGCCTGCCTGTGAAGAACAGTTGCCCTCCTACTGAGAACGTTAACGAAACCCCTACATTACTACATACACTGTACAATGTATATGATAAAAATTACATGCCTGAAATCACACGCTACCAAGCAATTAATATTCACACCACCTTACCATTCAAACTTCTAACACACTTTGGATCCAAGTTTTTAAGTAAACTCTCATCTAAAAGACTCAAGTCATCTGGCACTTCAGGCAGAGCTAGTCGTGCAAACAGCAAATCCATCTAAATATTAATTGATAATTAAAAATACTCTTGAGTATTATTTGAAAATCAGAAGTACAGCTGTGGTCCAACTTTACAACAAAACCATACCATCCACAGGAACATTTACACTAATGTCAACTGGCTACAACAGAACAATTAAAAAACACCTGACATTTTTCTCAATCTTTAGCACATACTGTACTTTACTTTGACATCTTAACAAATCTCACTCACCCACCCTTTCATCCACTCACCCACCCGTTCATCCACTCACTCACTGACCAACAATGACTGAGGGACTAACTGATCACTTGGAACAGATTGATGATAAGAACAAAAAAACACAATCATCAAGAGGGAACTAAATGTGCCAACAACTTCTCTAAATTCAGGACTTGAAAGAAAGGTATCAAATTGAACATTTTGATCAAAAGAATGGCGACATCAGGATCACACACACATGTAACTCACCTCTATCTTGCAGAATACCAACTTGATGACAGGAACAAATGCATTTTCAACTGCCTATATAAAGAGAAATAGGAAACCATTATAAATGGTAGATTTCGTAGTTTCTACATTACTGAAGTTGTCTATACACGTATGTATTTTGCCTGGAGTAAAGGAGCAAAAGCATGGCAAAATCACACAAAAAAAGAAAAAAATCAGTCCATGCTGAAGTGCTTGGACAAACATCCACAACATTTAGAAAATTAGATCCCCAAAGTACAATACATGATGTACAGTATTTGATTGGTTATTTACTATAATAAGAGAAATCAGAAGTACATACATGCAAATCTCTCACATCTTCATTGTTCTTGAGGATCTCATAGAATGTTCCAAAGAAGTCAGAACGGTCAATATGTCGAGGAGCAACAAGAAGCGTATCAATATCAGCACCTGCAAAAAAAATTCACTTCCATTATAGTTCTGCAATAACCGGGACCACTTTACAGTCATGCTGCTTATAAAGCTGCTGACAACATGTATACACATAATCTTTAATCTGTACTCACAAAAACTTAATTTTGTATTCTTAAAACAGCAACTTCAATTATAGACGGCAACATGTGTCCACTTGTGTGCAGTTTATATTATTTTATATTTTTCACTTCCCTACAAAATGATTCACAAAAGCAACATATGAGAACTTAGGTTTCCATCTCTCACTTGCTTTCACCATGGTGATGGCTTATTCCTTTCAGTTGCCAAAAGAAGATGAAAACCTCTGGGACCAGGGTAGTATCATAAATAACACCAACTAAGGAAAAACAACAAGCTACCTCAAACATACTAATGAGCCTTACTGTCCACATGTTTTTGACTTACACTACACGCGCACACTCAAGTGCATGCATTTTTTTTACTAGCATATTTTTTTGCAAGAATTTGTGGCCTGACAAGTACTGCGCAAGTAAGCCTAGGATCAGGATTGTCAGGATCATGTTCAGAACACAGGCCCTTTTGGTCTTCCTATGCAGACCTAGTCTTTTCTCACTAACCTTTAGAATGTACACCCAGCCTGTATGAGCCAAAAGTGAAGATCTTTCCTCTATATACAGATGTAATCTTTTCTATAACTAACCTTTAGTATGCACACCCAGCCTGTATGAACCAAAAGTAAAGATCTTTCCTCCTACTGAGTTGGCCACAGATTCTGGCATGTTCTGCATAAAAGAAACCACCTTTAATTTGTAACTCATAAGAGAAGTAAAGATACATGTAATAATAGTAATGCAAACACTGTACTTTCTTTTGGTTTGTTTCAACTAAAACAGCAGGTACACATGAAACTAAAGACATTATGCATAGCTGACAACCATCGAGACACTTGTGAGAAAATTCATCTGATTAATACTTTTTACTTGCCTCTGAAGGTGTCTACTACTCACTAATCAAACCTCAGACCATAACTACAGTACAGTTGGTCCTGCTGCACTCAACAGACATTTTGCTGTCCATTTTGCCATGCTGAGGATGAGGCAGAGTTTCGTGTACATTGTACATTGTACATTGTACATTGTACAGGGCACAAAACAGGAATGTGCACAAACAGACTGTGTGAAATGTTTAGGTTTTCAATGTAAATTGATTAACCTGAAATCTTATTTGTACATCTGCTCTTTAACCTCAAGATTTTTAAAATGCGTGTATTATCAAACTAAGTGAATAATAAAAGCTTTCACCACTGCAACTTTGCAAACACACAGCTTCAAATACATCAAGCTTTCATAATTCAAAACCTTACATGTAAAGAGATATTCTAACCAACCTTTGATAAACTGGTATCAATGATCCACTGTTTGACCAAGGTATTAAGCTTTGCAAGGACAACCATCCTAGGACAAAAATTACATACACATCATAATAAAGAAGGAATTATTATAATAAAACGGTTTTCAATTGAGTTTCAAAAAAAATCAGGCAATTACTTTGGTTTTGGTTTTGGGTTTACTATGGTTTAAGATTGGCTGAGTAGTCTAATTGGCAAGTTATTGGTTTGGTTTTGGTCTTACAGCACTCAATTGAAAACCACTCTAATTTACATGTGTAGTCTCTCAGATTGGTTTTTGTCTGGTTTAGAATTTTTGAATACAAGTAAAGTTCTACATGTATTTAACAGTTCGAAGACCACACACATCAGAGCTACATATAAATGTACATGAAACTCGCAAAATTCATCAGTGCATGTGAGCTACAAATTAACTGTCATAACTGTTCATGAATATATTGTATATCTGAAATTTGCTAAAAACCTGTGCTGAAGCTCTTCTTCTGTTTCAAATACTCCATAAGGTTTGAGAGACTCTTCAAGAGCTTTTGTTGATGCTATGTCCTGAGATATAAGTTTGAAAGAAAATATGCCATTTAAAATCAATCAACATAAAATATGGTTAACTGACCTATCATGAGGTCAAGACAACTGTACATTTGCCTTTTACATTGTATGTGTTCATGTACATTGTACCAAGATGTAGGCAAAGGCTATTAACATACCAAAAAAGGATGTAGGCAATACTTCTAGCCATCAAAAAACAAACTTTTTACATAGGAAACAATGCACAGGCAAAATAGCATCACCATGCCCACTCAGGTAGCCAGTCACAGAGCACAATTTGGTTCATCTTGCCCACTTATGCAGGGTTCCAGTTAATTTTTCAATGCAGGGTGTCAATATGGAATTCCAACAGGTCAATTCCCACTGCTCCCACCAAATCATTACAAATTTTCTATTAATTTGTAGAGTCATGTAACTGACCTTGGCAGGTTTTTGACCTGAGATCCCTCACTCATCTAGAACACTGTTTATGGAGTTAGCCATGTAGGTGTAATGATACACTGTACTAGCTGCTAGTCTAATACATACACAAAACACTAACATTGTGGAACTGGCCACTTCAAAACACAGAAACTGCGCAAATTTTAAATAAACATGTTCCAAATACAGTGTGGTTTTAGTTATACGTGTAGTTTATATATTTGGCCAATATATATATGTTAATTAAAGTTACAAGTCTACACAGCATATCAAACAAATCTTTAAGATTTCCACAGCTGCATCCAGCTAAGTATATAACGTTAACCGTATACATGTATGATGCGAGCGAACTGTTCAATGTTTTTAATTCACAAATGCATGATCGATCGGTACCACTGTGTAGAGTAAACAAAACCTTCACCTACCCCGGGCTTGGGACCTGCCAAAGATATCGGCGATGTGATCCCGTAGCATTTCTGTGTCTGTCCACCAGAGGTCCCGGCAGCACTAGAGAAAAACAACAACGTGACGAGCAACGGCGCGAAAACAAAACGATGTCTTTTATCAGCAGACAACAGCATCAAGCCGGTTCAATCATTGTAAACACAATTGACATCTTACCTGGACATTTTAAAGGTACAAAAAAACCAAAAGATTCATTGAAGAAGCATTCTGTGTGCACAAAAAGTATCCCCAACACTATACGAACGGGCTTTGGTACAAAATATATAAAGATCGGCGATTTTGATAAAAACGTGGTGCAAATTCCAAGATGGCGCCGACGGCCAATGCAACAACGCATGCGCACAGAATACCGACTATCACTCTGTATCAGTCTCCACTCGGTCAAAATTTACACAACCCTCAGGAGGGGAGGGGGACCTGTTGTAGATTTTATGGCTGTGNAGTCACTGAAAATCTATTGGGTGGTCAAGGACAACCCAAGAGCATGCAGAGTTTCACATATAATTTGCGTATTTACCCTTGGATCCCACACTGGAAAATTTAATTCCACTTTGTTGTCACTTGGTGGAGTGATGTTTTTCAGCAACACTGGGTTTGGCCATTCCCTACAAGTAAACAAAATTTAATTTGTATTGGTGAATCAAGTACAGTATCTACACTTATGATACGACAAGGTAGTCGTGAGGTAAATCTGAGCATTCTGATTGCCTCTTCCCTGGTCAAGATTTTGCCATACAGTGTACAGAACGGAAAAAGTCATAGGCCATGCATTTTTCATTTCAGTGCCATGTAGTAACCTACTTACTAGCTTAGCTTGCTTGAGCCATAATGGGGAGTATTGGCCCTTGGTCGTTTTTGTACGGACCTCACACAAGCGCCTTGCCAGTCTCAGTCCAATATTCCCCAGTAAAGCCCTCACACTCAGTTAGTAAGAGGTTAATCTTTCTAGAACCACTTTTGTTAGTTCTTGAAATGAAGACCTACCATTTTGAAAATACAAGGAAGAACTTTTGTAGTAGTGTAGCTGCCACTGCATTTGGATACAACTGACATGTACGAGCTACTAACATAGCCCATGACACACCACCGAGGAAACCTAACACATTGGAGTAGATCCCACGATCTGGTGGACAAGAAAAGAACAGAAATTTGTCAAGTTACATGTAAGTAATAGAAGAACAAAATCAGGGTTCATACATATTTTTTGTATTCAAAACATTTCCATGCTCTTTCTGAACCAATATTTCCCTTTTCCAGCATACTTCCCAAAACGCCCGTTCATGTGAAATTCAGAAGCTGATGAAGATTTTACTTAGCAACTGAGCAGCTGCCTACAGCTGAAATAAAAACATCAGTCTCTTTCCATCTTATTTTCTTTTTTTTTTCTTTTCCCATTGATACGGTAGATTTACTTGTCAGAACCTACTTTTTGCCCACAGTTTGACTGCTCTTAATGTAAGACGGAAGTTTTCTATGTTGGGAACCAAGTGGAGAATTTCATCTGTAACACGGCAACCTAACAAAGACAATAAAATAATTAATAAAAATGTTTTCTATTCCTCGCAAAATTCGGTCAGTTTTGATTTTGTGCACCCCAGACAACAAAATTAAATTAAATGCAATCTTCATGAAGATGAACAATACCATAATCAAGGTAATCTTTGGATTGTACCAGCTTGGTTTGACCACGTAGAGGAAAGTATTTCTTACAAAGAAGTTCAGTTAAAAAAGTTTTGCCTGCCTGTGAAGAACAGTTGCCCTCCTACTGAGAACGTTAACGAAACCCCTACATTACTACATACACTGTACAATGTATATGATAAAAATTACATGCCTGAAATCACACGCTACCAAGCAATTAATATTCACACCACCTTACCATTCAAACTTCTAACACACTTTGGATCCAAGTTTTTAAGTAAACTCTCATCTAAAAGACTCAAGTCATCTGGCACTTCAGGCAGAGCTAGTCGTGCAAACAGCAAATCCATCTAAATATTAATTGATAATTAAAAATACTCTTGAGTATTATTTGAAAATCAGAAGTACAGCTGTGGTCCAACTTTACAACAAAACCATACCATCCACAGGAACATTTACACTAATGTCAACTGGCTACAACAGAACAATTAAAAAACACCTGACATTTTTCTCAATCTTTAGCACATACTGTACTTTACTTTGACATCTTAACAAATCTCACTCACCCACCCTTTCATCCACTCACCCACCCATTCATCCACTCACTCACTGACCAACAATGACTGAGGGACTAACTGATCACTTGGAACAGATTGATGATAAGAACAAAAAAACACAATCATCAAGAGGGAACTAAATGTGCCAACAACTTCTCTAAATTCAGGACTTGAAAGAAAGGTATCAAATTGAACATTTTGATCAAAAGAATGGCGACATCAGGATCACACACACATGTAACTCACCTCTATCTTGCAGAATACCAACTTGATGACAGGAACAAATGCATTTTCAACTGCCTATATAAAGAGAAATAGGAAACCATTATAAATGGTAGATTTCGTAGTTTCTACATTACTGAAGTTGTCTATACACGTATGTATTTTGCCTGGAGTAAAGGAGCAAAAGCATGGCAAAATCACACAAAAAAAGAAAAAAATCAGTCCATGCTGAAGTGCTTGGACAAACATCCACAACATTTAGAAAATTAGATCCCCAAAGTACAATACATGATGTACAGTATTTGATTGGTTATTTACTATAATAAGAGAAATCAGAAGTACATACATGCAAATCTCTCACATCTTCATTGTTCTTGAGGATCTCATAGAATGTTCCAAAGAAGTCAGAACGGTCAATATGTCGAGGAGCAACAAGAAGCGTATCAATATCAGCACCTGCAAAAAAAATTCACTTCCATTATAGTTCTGCAATAACCGGGACCACTTTACAGTCATGCTGCTTATAAAGCTGCTGACAACATGTATACACATAATCTTTAATCTGTACTCACAAAAACTTAATTTTGTATTCTTAAAACAGCAACTTCAATTATAGACGGCAACATGTGTCCACTTGTGTGCAGTTTATATTATTTTATATTTTTCACTTCCCTACAAAATGATTCACAAAAGCAACATATGAGAACTTAGGTTTCCATCTCTCACTTGCTTTCACCATGGTGATGGCTTATTCCTTTCAGTTGCCAAAAGAAGATGAAAACCTCTGGGACCAGGGTAGTATCATAAATAACACCAACTAAGGAAAAACAACAAGCTACCTCAAACATACTAATGAGCCTTACTGTCCACATGTTTTTGACTTACACTACACGCGCACACTCAAGTGCATGCATTTTTTTTACTAGCATATTTTTTTGCAAGAATTTGTGGCCTGACAAGTACTGCGCAAGTAAGCCTAGGATCAGGATTGTCAGGATCATGTTCAGAACACAGGCCCTTTTGGTCTTCCTATGCAGACCTAGTCTTTTCTCACTAACCTTTAGAATGTACACCCAGCCTGTATGAGCCAAAAGTGAAGATCTTTCCTCTATATACAGATGTAATCTTTTCTATAACTAACCTTTAGTATGCACACCCAGCCTGTATGAACCAAAAGTAAAGATCTTTCCTCCTACTGAGTTGGCCACAGATTCTGGCATGTTCTGCATAAAAGAAACCACCTTTAATTTGTAACTCATAAGAGAAGTAAAGATACATGTAATAATAGTAATGCAAACACTGTACTTTCTTTTGGTTTGTTTCAACTAAAACAGCAGGTACACATGAAACTAAAGACATTATGCATAGCTGACAACCATCGAGACACTTGTGAGAAAATTCATCTGATTAATACTTTTTACTTGCCTCTGAAGGTGTCTACTACTCACTAATCAAACCTCAGACCATAACTACAGTACAGTCGGTCCTGCTACACTCAACAGACATTTTGCTGTCCATTTTGCCATGCTGAGGATGAGGCAAAGTTTCGTGTACATTGTACATTGTACAGGGCACAAAACAGGAATGTGCACAAACAGACTGTGTGAAATGTTTAGGTTTTCAATGTAAATGGATTAACCTGAAATCTTATTTGTACATCTGCTCTTTAACCTCAAGATTTTTAAAATGCGTGTATTATCAAACTAAGTGAATAATAAAAGCTTTCACCACTGCAACTTTGCAAACACACAGCTTCAAATACATCAAGCTTTCATAATTCAAAACCTTACATGTAAAGAGATATTCTAACCAACCTTTGATAAACTGGTATCAATGATCCACTGTTTGACCAAGGTATTAAGCTTTGCAAGGACAACCATCCTAGGACAAAAATTACATACACATCATAATAAAGAAGGAATTATTATAATAAAACGGTTTTCAATTGAGTTTCAAAAAAAATCAGGCAATTACTTTGGTTTTGGTTTTGGGTTTACTATGGTTTAAGATTGGCTGAGTAGTCTAATTGGCAAGTTATTGGTTTGGTTTTGGTCTTACAGCACTCAATTGAAAACCACTCTAATTTACATGTGTAGTCTCTCAGATTGGTTTTTGTCTGGTTTAGAATTTTTGAATACAAGTAAAGTTCTACATGTATTTAACAGTTCGAAGACCACACACATCAGAGCTACATATAAATGTACATGAAACTCGCAAAATTCATCAGTGCATGTGAGCTACAAATTAACTGTCATAACTGTTCATGAATATATTGTATATCTGAAATTTGCTAAAAACCTGTGCTGAAGCTCTTCTTCTGTTTCAAATACTCCATAAGGTTTGAGAGACTCTTCAAGAGCTTTTGTTGATGCTATGTCCTGAGATATAAGTTTGAAAGAAAATATGCCATTTAAAATCAATCAACATAAAATATGGTTAACTGACCTATCATGAGGTCAAGACAACTGTACATTTGCCTTTTACATTGTATGTGTTCATGTACATTGTACCAAGATGTAGGCAAAGGCTATTAACATACCAAAAAAGGATGTAGGCAATACTTCTAGCCATCAAAAAACAAACTTTTTACATAGGAAACAATGCACAGGCAAAATAGCATCACCATGCCCACTCAGGTAGCCAGTCACAGAGCACAATTTGGTTCATCTTGCCCACTTATGCAGGGTTCCAGTTAATTTTTCAATGCAGGGTGTCAATATGGAATTCCAACAGGTCAATTCCCACTGCTCCCACCAAATCATTACAAATTTTCTATTAATTTGTAGAGTCATGTAACTGACCTTGGCAGGTTTTTGACCTGAGATCCCTCACTCATCTAGAACACTGTTTATGGAGTTAGCCATGTAGGTGTAATGATACACTGTACTAGCTGCTAGTCTAATACATACACAAAACACTAACATTGTGGAACTGGCCACTTCAAAACACAGAAACTGCGCAAATTTTAAATAAACATGTTCCAAATACAGTGTGGTTTTAGTTATACGTGTAGTTTATATATTTGGCCAATATATATATGTTAATTAAAGTTACAAGTCTACACAGCATATCAAACAAATCTTTAAGATTTCCACAGCTGCATCCAGCTAAGTATATAACGTTAACCGTATACATGTATGATGCGAGCGAACTGTTCAATGTTTTTAATTCACAAATGCATGATCGATCGGTACCACTGTGTAGAGTAAACAAAACCTTCACCTACCCCGGGCTTGGGACCTGCCAAAGATATCGGCGATGTGATCCCGTAGCATTTCTGTGTCTGTCCACCAGAGGTCCCGGCAGCACTAGAGAAAAACAACAACGTGACGAGCAACGGCGCGAAAACAAAACGATGTCTTTTATCAGCAGACAACAGCATCAAGCCGGTTCAATCATTGTAAACACAATTGACATCTTACCTGGACATTTTAAAGGTACAAAAAAACCAAAAGATTCATTGAAGAAGCATTCTGTGTGCACAAAAAGTATCCCCAACACTATACGAACGGGCTTTGGTACAAAATATATAAAGATCGGCGATTTTGATAAAAACGTGGTGCAAATTCCAAGATGGCGCCGACGGCCAATGCAACAACGCATGCGCACAGAATACCGACTATCACTCTGTATCAGTCTCCACTCGGTCAAAATTTACA